CTTCAGAATGTCATTTATGTTTCTGGATGAAAATGCTCGCCCAACTATTTACATCATATGTGCAACTTAAACTGGAATATGGCTGTTGTTTGGTACCCTTATTTTGGGAAATATAATAGTTATGAGAATGGTTGTGGCACTAAACATGCCTAAAATGGAAGGCAGATGAAAAATGGAAGACATGATCACCATGTACAAAATTCTTATGGGAATTGATAAAATTGATAAGGATACAACACAGCAAATAAGAGGGGGACCCAGATCCAAGTTGCAGAAACTCAAGTGTTCCAAATGTCTGAAAATATGCTTTTAATAACAGTACTTGACAGGTGAAATAAATTGCAGAAGAGGGGTTTGCATGCTACCACCAATGGATGCTTTAAAACTTTAAATGATAAAAATTATAAGGCAGACAGAACATCTCGGGGTTAGCTCTTTTTCCTGGAAGTATAATTGTGCATGTGCATACACAAACACACACACGAGGACATAGGTTCCAACTAAGGAAACAAAGTTGTAGAAAAAATGAGAAAGATCACTTTTGCATACAGAGTCCTAGATGGTTGGAACAAGCGAGAATGTGGTGGAGGCCAAAACAGTCAATAGTTTCAAAGCGTCATATAACAGAGCACTAGGAAGACAGGACACCTTGAATGTATATCTCATCCTGTAACTACACATAGGTAATTATAAGGCAGTGAGAAAAGAAGTGGAAAAAAAAAATTCGAGAAAAGGATGATGGATAAGTGTAAAACAGATCCAGGCCTATTCTATAAATTAATTAAAAGCAAATTGCATGTAAAAGATAAAATCCAGAGCATGAAAATGGGTGTGTGATTTATGGAAAATTAAATGTGTAAAACACACACACACAAAAAAAGTTCCAAAGTGTGTTTGTGCAAAATGAAGTCTTCAGAGAACCAGACAATACGTATTTCAGGGAATACCACAAGAATACATATGGTGTCATTCATATGGTATTGACACAATGAAACAAAGACAAAGTAAAAATAATGCACAAGGAGCTAGAAAGAAACATTCGGTTCTGAGAGAATACACAACTGAAGTGAAGGGAATTATCAGGAGAAAGTGCCAAACCATTACGATTATATAGCACTTGGAAGGGGATCAGGATAAGGATTTGGGATGGGAAGGGGCAAAGGAATGGTGCCCAACCACTTGGACGGTCGGGGATTGAACGCCGACCTGCATGAAGCGAGACCGTTGCTCTACCGTCCAGTCTAAGTGGTTGGACTGGACAAGATTGCAACTCGGTTGCAATCCCTGCTGCCAAGTTGAACACCCCTCCCCCCCCCCCCCAATTTAATTTATTTTTCAGTTATCTTTGTGTACAGGAGTCTTGGTGCATATACAGAAAAAGGCAAACATAGTTCCAATCTACAAAAATGGGAACAGAAAAGACTTTCTTATAGACCTGGGGAGAATGAAAGTCAGAACATTCGAAAACATAATTCAAACCAAAAGAGTAGAACATCTGCAGAGAAATTATAAAACATAGGCAAAGAGTATGGCTACCAAACATGACGATCCTGTGTAACAAATCTACCTAGTTTCTATGACAGAGCCACAGAGATTTTACAGGAAGCAGATGGTTGGATTGACTGCATTTATCTGGACCTAAAAAAAGTTTTTTGACAGTCCCACATAAGAAGTTGTTCTGGAGACTGCAACATATTGGAGGGATAACAGGAAGACTTCTGACTCAGATGACAAATTTGCTAACTGGTAGAAAAATAAGAGCAGTAATCACAGGCATTGTATCAGACTGAAGAAATGTTACTAGCAGAGTACCACAGGGTTTAGTTTCAACACCAATAATGTTCATTGTCTATATGAATGATTCACAAGAAGGAATACAAGACTATATGAATATATTTGCTGATGGCGATAAGTTACTAGGGAAGATAAACTTTGTTGACGAAAGATGAAGGGCACAACGATTGTCATGTCCTCCATGATGACCTGGACAAAAGTGTATGGAGCAACACTTGGCACATGGAATTCAGTATGAATAAATATCACATTATAGAATGTATAATAGCTGAAAATAGGCCATATGCAACCTGCAAATTATGTGAAACACTTTAAGGAATTATGATAAATTAAGTGCTCTAGGGGTGGTTCTGGATCACCATCACCTGATATATAGTTTTTTACACACAGTCGTGGCAACAATTTTGGTTACAGCCTCATTTTGAAGGTTAATAGAACAGCTGAAAAATGTGGATGTTTCTAACTAGAAATGTAATAAAAAAATTATTTAAAGGAAAAAAGTCCCCCCCCCCCCTACAAAATAAAAAAATTAAATGAATGGTGTTGCAGCTGAGAGCCAATGAGTTTATAATGGTTCTCACGCTGTTTACAAACTAATTAAAATATTGTGCCAAATATTTAAAATATCTTGTTCATAAACTTTTTGACAAACAAATTTGAAATTTAACTACAGCATTGTATATGACCTGAAGATGTTGCAGCATATGGAGAATTGGCAAACCATGACAACATTTAGAAACTAGAACAAGGAGGCTTTCAAGTCCATATACGCTGCCTATGGGAGTATTACAGGAGTATGCAACTATACCTTGTGAAGCACAACATAAAACTTCAGGAAGTTAAGACTTGCAACTATATTACTACTCAAACTGATAGGGCACAACAATAAGGACAGGTTGAGGGAACTCAACCACACAACTTTAAAGGAAACATGATCACTACATACAAGATCCTAGGGGAATAGGCAATGTGGAAAGTGCATTCTATTTAAGTTAAAAGGAGGTAAGACAAGGGGAACATCAGTGAAAGCATGACACAAGTTGTAAAGATGTAAAAAAATTCTTGTACAAGACAGAAAATATCTATATTTCAGTCTATAAGATGGAAAATATTGTATACAAACACTCTAAAGTAAACTCAAAATTTCAAGATTAGTCAACATAATTTCAAAAGTGGTCCTGTTAGAATTGTACACACACTAACAATAAAATACAGGGGTGGAAACTTTTATGCCAAACTACCAAGAGGTGAGTCAAGGAGCTAAATTTAATTTCCTTGTAGTCACCGATAGGTAACCATTTTTTGTAGTTTCTAAATGTACAGTATAAACTAGGCTGAGTGATTAGGTTCACTATGAAATAAATATTTACTAATTACATCACCTTTTATTATTAGTGACACGTTCAGTGGTACTACTTTTACAATTAGGGTGTGCAGAGATAGTAGGGAAGCTAAAACTTCAGAGTGCACTTATGTAACATTATATTTTCAAATGGTCTTTAAAAAGCAGTCTCCAAGGAAATGTAAGATTAGTGAATAGAAAATGATAGCCCTTATTTTGATGTTATAACACTTTCACCAATTACCAGTAAGGATTAAGAAATTAATGTAACCAACATTAGTGCAATGTTATGTTCAGTAGGTTTCTAAATTAGGACTATATAGGCATTAACAATCTGAAAATCTATATGATTATGAGAACAGTTATGTCATCAGTGTGACTTAATGAAAAATCAATGAAAGGAGAGGAAGACTAAATGAGTTGAGGTGGAGACAATGAGTAGGAAAGCTCTGATGAAACAAATACAAGTAGAGCTCAAGAAAAGGGAGTTGTGCAGAGGAAATGGCATAGAAGGGTTGGAATGGGGGAAGGAGGGGGAAGCTTAGGGTGCCATCAAAAAGAAAGAAAGAGGAGAGGAAGGTGAAATTTAGGAAGAAGAATGGGGTTAGGAGAAAAGGGGAAGAGGAAAATATATAATTAAAAGAATAAGAAACTACAAGATGCTTATGGTATTTCTAGGGAAAACCATTTTGTTTACGAATGCTGTTGCAACAAAAGAGCATACCACCATATTTTATATATATATATATATATATATATATATATATATATATATATATATATATATATATATATATATATATATATATATATATATATATATATATATATATATATATATATATATATATATATATATATATATATATATATATATATATATATATATATATTATTTATTTATTTATTCAAAACACATTACAAGAATGTTGTATAATTGGAAAAGTTATTTTATCAGTCATGTCACAGTTTTTCCTTGCATGTAATTTTATTTCACAATAGAAAACTATATAGAAAATAGTACAGTAAAATAGAAAAATTCATTCTATGAGGAAAGACATTTTACCTATTCATACATTCAAGTGTCACGGAAAGCACTGGACTACAACAATCATGTTCTCAACTCTATACAGATTTCAAGAATCCAAACAAGCCCCTCTACATTACATGGCAGGCAACAAGTCATTAAGTAAGAATCACAGAAGCCAATTTCCAGCAAAAATGTTTTACTGTACAGTATTCTAAAGTAAACTCAAAGTCTCAAGAACAGTCAACATAATTTAAAGAGTGGTCCTGTTAGATTTGTACATACACTAACAATAAAATACATTTTTGGCAGAATGGTGGATAACTGTAATAATTATTCTTGCAACTTGTTATTTGTCATAGTATGTATAAACAAAGAAAATTTTGTTAATCAAACAGATGAATGGGACAGGACAAATACTGTACCCTTGGACAAAGTTGCAGAAAGCAGATTATAACTTAAGCCAGCTGTCTTAGAACTTCATAGGATCAGAGAAAGATACCATGCCAACTCGTAAAGTATTATAACCCAAGAAGGAATAACAATTACAAAAGCCATAATGTTTAAACTGTTAAATTTGGAACACTGCATAAAAATGGAAAGAAATGTGCCATGGAATTGTTTAGAAAAGGTATAAAAGGTTAAAAAACAATTGCCCTGCAAGCTTTAAACAAAGGTCTGTAATAACCTTTCATTCAAAGTGTTTTATATATATTAGAAGCTTACAAACAAATTTAAAACAAAGATGAACATTCAAATAAAGTGATAGTTTTTTATAAATCACTGAAATGGAGCCAAGAAAAATAATACAACAGTACTGTAGTTTTAAATACTTACGACGGAATGAGAGGTGGTGGAAGAATCCCTGAATTAACCTGTCGACCAGGTGGAGCTGGAGTTGGCCGTGAAGGAATAGCAGGAGCAGGACGTCCTCCAAGGGGCACTGGAGGTGGTGCTCGAGCAACAGCAGGGGGAGCAGCTCGTCTCATATTTCCTCCGGGAGAGGGTGGCCCACTATGACCGATCCTAAAAATTCAACATCTGTCAAGAAGGGTGTCAAGTACATGACACTAGCAATCCCTGTCTAAACAATGCCTTTACATTTAAGGAACAATTTCCTTTGACTTGCTAAGAGTTGTAAGACTCTTTAAGAGTCTTAGATTAAAAATAAAGATAACTATTTTTATGAATAAATAAATGAGTTTGATTCTTTTATAATTAGTAACAGGACATGACCAGCCACTACTAGATGTACAGTACTTGTGACACCATCTGGATGTGCCAAAAGAATAAAGTTCCATCCTGTGCCTGCTATGCACCAGTACAGGAAATATAAATCTATCGTCATAAGCATTCTGGTTTCTCCTGAAGCAAGCAAGCACCCAAAACAGATCATAGAGGGCTGAACAACTTCAGCTTTTCAAGGCATAAATTGAAACTGAAAAAAATCAAATAGTTTCTTTATTCTCCGCTGGTGAAGATGTAAGTGGTGGTTTTCCAATGCGCATAAAACCCAGCATTGAATGTAATGAAAGGTCTATATCCGGGCGAAATCCTGGTGACTCCTTGAAGCTACACACACCAAGATGATTCCCATCTACCAGATCACATCAGCCATGCAGTTCATAGACCTATGGGAACTGAAGCCAGAACCTGGTCCCTAAGTAGCGCAGGAAATGGTGAAATTTTGCCACCTCACTGGTAAAGGCATCCAGACAGTCAGCGTGTCAAAACAAACCACTGCTAGGCTCAAAAGACTCATTGCAACCGGCATAATTAACTTTCCACAACTATGTAAACAAACAATAGAATTTCTTTAAACTAGCATGAGCTCACTTGCCATTCATCTTCACCGTTCATTTGGAGGGAGACGGGAAAGGGCTCACCCCTTCCAGGGGTCTTAGCTGTCAGTTCTGAAGCATTATGCACAAACAAAACTGACCCAACTATCTAGAAAAGATAGGAGGGAGGTAATAAGGGAGCCACAGAGCCTCACTCAGAAATACCCGTAGGTGTTTCATTACATTCAATGCTGGTTTTCTGGAGGGGAGGTCCTTTGTGACTTCTTGAAGCTAACTACCCATGGAGAAGGACATGGGAACTTACCAGTGAGCAGGGAAACAGCAGGAGTCAGGATGAAGAAGAGAATACTGGACGAGAATCATGACAAGGCCACACAAGGATGCCGAGGCCGGGGAACATTCACCAAATACCGGGCCACCAGAACCTGTTAGGTTGCTAAAACCCTAGTGCATGAATTTCGGTCAAGGTCATGTTAGCGAACAGCTGTGAGAGCGGCATATTTCTGATCATCATAGGCACAAGGGTAGACCACAGGTGACTAGACTTAATGACACTGTGGATGACCTGAGAAATATGAGCCCTGTAACAGCGAGCCAAGGAAACAGGATCAACCCACAAAGCATCTACCGAACCAGAATTGGAGGCACAAAGATATTAGCGGAGAGCTGCCAGCAGACACAGCACATAATGCATCCCCAGCTAAACCAACCAAGCATCAATAACCAAAGGACAACTCTGGAAGCCAACCGACTCATTCTTCACTGGAATTGAAGGAGCAGGCTGCAAATAAGATGCACACCTGGGCTAAAAGAACAGAAACTGTACCTCCTGAGGGGAGCATAAAGTTCCCTGACCCAACAACCTGAGGCAAGAGGCATAAAAGTCAAGGCGTATGAAAAAATCATGGACCAAAGGGGTCAATGTGTAACAAGAAGTGTGAAAAGTGAGAATATGGTCAAAAGACCATGCAGGGACAGGTTGCATGAGAAGGCCAGAGGTGAAAGTGCTTGAGACAGCAAGCAAAACATAGCCGAACTCAAGCTGCTGCACTTCCACCAGATCCACACGATCCGAGGTGATGGTATTTGGCACAAGATGCCGATGAAGATATACTCTGTAGCCAAGAAAGGAGAGCACCACATGATCTGAAACCAAACAACAACAAAGCAAAAGGAAGTGGCGAAAGGAGCACCACGAAACTTCCTACCATCGCGTAGAAGAGAAACACATGTTGGACACCATCAAAGAAGCCACTTGCTTGTTGTAAAGATGGTAATAAATACACATCAAAAACTACAGCTGCAAAAAGTGGAGCAGTGTGAATCAGTGAAATACTGTACATCAGTTGGCTGACATTTTGATAGAGCGCACCACAGAAAAACACCCGGGTTTAGATACACAGCAACCAGCACCTAAAATCAAGTATGGGCTGGCCACCTAGGAGCTAGAAGGACCACACTTCCTGGGAAGGATACCAATCTAGTCAGGACCTGGAGTTACAGCTGGACTGAGGGAAAGAGGTACAAGAACCCTTATCTTGACTAGTTCAGCAGAAAGGCATCTACTGCAAGGGCCTCGAATCGGGGAATGGAGCCGAGAAATGAGGAAGGTGTCAATTCCACATCAATGCAATGAGACCCACCTCTGTCTCACAAAGCCAAAAATTAGGGGGGGGGGGGAGCATCGAATGACCACTCCATGGAGGCGGGTAGGAACTGAGAGACACCATTTTCGAGAACGTTGGAAACTCCCTAAATGTGAACGGCACAGAGAACCAAACCCCGGGAAACCAGCATAAGAGCTACTTACAGCATCTAGCTCCAAAGCACAAGGGACCAAAGCAAACCCTCCAGTTGAGGCAATGAACCCCAGCAGAACAATCTGAATGGAGTTGGAGCATGGAGCCCAGAGGAATCTGAACCCTCCACAGTGCATGCCACATGGCTGCAGACTCCCATACCTTCAGCGATGAAACCAAAACCCTAGCCGGCTTGGCGAACACTGATCATAAAGCCCCATTCTGGAAGCAGGGGCATCCATGAAGACGTTGAGCAATGGAGGAGGAAGGCACCAGGGAATAGAACCTCAAAATCCAAAAGTGCAAGCTGGTGATGCAGCAGCCAGCAAAGATAGCCCGCACCCAACGATTGCATGGTGGCAGCAAAAGGAACTGAACCGGAGATGCCAGAAAAGCTGCTGAAGCTACACTTTGCCTGGAAGAAAACCTATGCGGGTGAAGTTCAGGTTCCGACGACTGCTTGAGCAACCGTTGAGTCACCCATGGTGCCCAAGTTTGGTGTTTGCCCAACACCAGCAGATGGCGGCACTGCTGTTGGGTCAAGGCCACCGGAAGAAGGGAAAGCAAAGCCAACAGAGTCCCAGTCAAAATCAAACCTGGGATGGAACCAACTGCAACTTCCACTAATTCACTAGGAAACTAAACCTGGCAAGCCGAGACAGAACCAAATCCCTGGCTAGTAGACATGAGGACTGATTAGGAGCCCACACCAGCCAGTCATTGAGGTAAGCTAAAAAACAAACCCTTTACAAAGATGAATTACTGCACCTCAAGCCAAATATATAGACATGATTGGAGCCCAATTGAGTCCAAAGGAAAGAACCCAAAAGCGGTAAACCAGAAACCCCACCACAAAACCTAGCCAATGCCTGAACTTCGGATGCATAGGGACACGCCAATACACATTTCAAAAGGTCCTAGGATATCATACAGGAATTCACCCATAATACGAGGCGAACCTGGAACAAAGTGGTCATCCAAAAGGTGGGGGGCAAGGGATAAACCAGTTCAGCCTCAAAAGGTAGAGGATGAACTGGAGATCTATCAAGTCCCGATTCAGAACCTGAAAGAGGCAACAGTCGTTTTGATCACGCTAGCATAAACCCACTCCAAGATGACCTGATGCAGGTTACGGGAAGCTGCCTGCCTAGAGGGACCCAAACTCCCAAACTTTCAGATGGGGCAGGAACTGACCAACTTCACTGCAGGCTACAGATAACGACAAAAAAACGTAAATTGCAGGACCAGGAGCTTGCAAACTGGGCAAGTTCCCCCCTCCCCGTCAAAGGGGTGAAAGGCAAAAGAGCTGGCATGAACCATGAGAAACCGCCGGTGCCTTCTGTAACGAGCAACCAGTGCTGACCACACAAAGAAAGACGTGGCCCCTGCATTACGCCCAAAGTCAAGCATCTCACTATCCTCCCAGAGTCAGTCAGTATGGAGCTCCAGGAGGCCTAGAAACCTCATGACATAACCCAAATGCAAAAGGATATGGAGGTCATCCACAAGTGCCACCGGCAACAAAAGCACCAGGGTATGGAGCTGCATGAGGCCCAATCTTGAGAGAGCGGGAGCAAATGAGCAGTCACTGTGGGGCACATAAGAAAGGCTCCCAAGGAACACCTGCAACAGGGGTTGACACCTCATGCCACTGAAGTGTGCAGGTATGACAAAAGCTGCTCCATGCCTCAAGTGAGAAAGGATTTTCTGCCAGCCAGCCAGGACAACAGAACCTTGTAATGCATTCAATAAGGAGAGGAAGACCTAAACTTGAAAGAGGAAGGGTCCATCAAAGAGGCATAATTCAGGTCTCAAGTAGTAATTGAAGACTTCCCAAGCCACCAAAGAAGGGACCCGAGAGGAAGAAAACCTCCAGAAGTCTAATCCACATGGGCCCAAAGGCACACGGAACCGAACCCTAGTGAGGGCCACATCCAAATCATACTCATACAGGAAGGGATGATATGAAAACCCCTCCCCATACAACAGGAGACCCTCCTCAGTGAGAACAAGGAACCATTTGGAGCACACCCTGGAGCTGGTCAAGACAAATCCTGAGCTAAGCCCCGACCCAATCTGGAAACAGTCGTTTTGAGGAAGGAAGCAGAGGGAAAGGGTGAACCATGCCTGAAGGGGAAGGGATGAGGAAGTGTGGATGGAGCCGAGGTGGAAGTCACCAATTCTGGGTCCCCAAACACGTGCCATACCAGCTCTGGGGCATCCAAATGGGTACAATCTAAAAAGATGTCAACGAGCAAAGTGAATCCCTAAAGCAGAAGCTGCCTGATATGCCCTAACCCCATCAGGAGGATCTGAAAGAATAGCCATGTGGAGAGAAACTCCACAGGACATGGGGTCTATGGTGTCACAGATTCAACAGGCAGCATGGTAGAGGAAAAATGAATGACTCCTGTGGCAAGGAAGA